ACTGATGCAGTAGTACTGATAATGCACTGAGAGCTGAATCACAGGTTGGATTTTCGTCCTATAGACCAAACCCTGCTGTGTGTTTGGAGGTCATGTGACTGGGAGAGGCGAGGGGGAGGTTTTGGAAGAGTAGCACAGGTGAGACCACCTCCGCTACTCAAGTGTTACCTTTACTCTTCTGGCAACACCTTATACCTGCCCCTCAGACACATGCTGCAGCTTTAACAACCAGCAGATACATGTGGACAATCATTTTCTCTTCTTCTTCATGGACGTTGGGATGCATTTCAGCAACTTTTCATCGTCATTGTAGGATTAAACTTGTCCCTTAACATTGGACTTAATATTGGACCCTTAACATCATGGACATGTTTGGCCCAGGACAACTGGTATCTACTCTCCTGCCTGCATTGTTCCATTCACCTGCAGCTCATTTCTTCCCTGCATTCCCAACCAGGCTGGGCTCTCCACATCAGTTTCTGATCCCGGGTCCCTTCATCAGCTACGAATCCTTGAGGAATTATCTGCAGCCAGATCCATGCAAGGAAGCTTTCCTCCTGGCCACTCAGGCGGTCGGGATAGGGCCGCTGACAGAGGGCATAGGTGAGTTCAAAGTGTGGCCATAAAGCAGGCTGATGCTGCTGGACACGTGCAGCCACACTGGCACAGCATGTCTACAGTCTCTAAGACAGTCAGTGAGCACCATCTGATCGCAGTGTAAATGTTTACAAAAGATTGGCTAACAGCTCGTAACTAACAATCAATTATCAAGCAGTGTTAAAGCGGGCCTAATGATCGCTGTGCTAATTATCCAATCTAGAGCCATTAGTTCCTTGTCACCCGTTGGCGATTGTGTAATTGGTGCTCGCGCTGTGTTTTCCAGATGAACAGAGGCCAGTGAAGCAGCGGCGTGCACGGGCCAACTACAGCAGCTGGCAGCTGGAGGAGCTGGAGAAGGCCTTCGAGACCACCCACTACCCCGACATCTTCATGAGGGAGGCCCTGGCCCTCAGACTGGACCTCATCGAGGCCAGAGTGCAGGTAACTGGATCACTGAACTGAGTCAACTGTTATTCATTTTTATTTGCAAAGGAATCTTTTACGCCCTGCAGACTATTTTGTCAGTCCAGCAGTACCAAGTTCTGTGTAGTGACAAACAATATTCAAATAATTATATTATGTATTTGTTTTTAACTCACCTATATTGTAACTGAAGGCTCTACCTCAATGTATTTTCTATTCCAAAGGAAGGTTGAATGAATACAAGTTTATCTAGAGAACTAATATTTACTTTAATATCGATGCGTTTTAGCTTTAGATGATAGAATCACATTTTTTAAGTCTGACTTCCTAAAATCCTATATTTGTATTGAAACAGTAATTGGTTCCTGAGCTACTGGCTGCATATGATTTGTTCCTAACACAGCTACACTGTAAGATATTGGGTTCAAACTTTCTGTACATTCAAAATTGCAGCTGAAACTTCAGGCTTAGCAGTAAGAAAATAAAGTTTCAAAAGTTTGTGTTTTTAATTTACACTGGAATTGCATCTGACAAGATTTGTCTTCACGGCAGTTACTGATGGGAGGGATAGTTACGGCAAACTAAACTAAAAGTCAATTAACTTTAAATCAATTTATATAAAATTAGGATAACATCCTAAAATGAAGTAGGGTAAAACTTGAATTTTAACTTAGAGGCTGACACATTATCCAAAATGTTTTTGTCCAGATTTTAAACACTGCAACACAAACTGTTTTTACATTTATATCTCCCTATTACATCTATTAAGTATTTTTACATTTGTCTCCAGGTTTGGTTTCAAAACCGCCGTGCCAAGATGAGGCGGCAGCTGAAACTCCAGGGCCAGCTCGCAGGGCCTTTTGTAAAAAGAGACAGTGATGAAATGTGTGAGAAAGCCAGCAGGAGTTTGAAGCAGCAGACGGAGAGTTGTGACGACGAAACCTGGGAGAGACGACAGGAAGGAGAGAACTATCCATGGACAAAAGCTGCGAGTGCAGCGCTGAGCGCTCGTCTGCAGCCTGCGACCCCGAGGTCGGGGAAGTGGGAGAGGCCGGAGGGGCCGGGGGGGCCGAGCTCAGACGAGCTCCGCTCCTGCAGCATCGCCAAGCTGAGGGCCAAAGCCAGAGAGCACGAAGCCGAGATCCACAGCTCTGTAAACATGTCAGCAGGCGACACACAGTCCCAAACACAGGAAGATGATGCCATGCACAGTGATTCATAGTTTTCCTTCTTCCTGTTTGTACAGATAATAATGATAAAAAACAGCATAGACACTATTAATACGCAGGAACTTACTTTGTAAACTATTTGTGTGAGGAGCTTTAGTATTAACCTTAGTATAAAATGTTATATGTTAATGATTTTCTTTCAAATTATAAGTATATTTCTTTCTGCACTATTTCATCTTTTTACATTTCCTGTAACTTTTTATTTAAATACACTTTTAAAGTCATTCTGAAGGTTAAGTAGTAAAACTGTAAAAACTCTCTGTAACTAACTACTTTAAGAAGAGGTTTTCTCACATCCAAGTGCCGTTTCTCTACGCACTTTCTAACATTTCATTAATGTGACTGAGGTTGTCACCTTTTGAATGAATGCCACACAGGTCATTATTGAACAGCTTACAGTGACAAATGACAAATGTTGCCATCTTACCATCAGCCTGTTGAGGCACAGCTGAAATCTGAGTCAGTCAAATCATTTCTAAATGATTTCACTAATAGCTTCTCATCCCTGACCTCTCGGGTTTCCTTCACAGACACGCAGGATGTCTGCAAGCAGCCACACGTCCTCAAAGGAAACAATGGAAATAACTGAGAAATGAAATAATGTGCGAGTCCACTGTAGAATAATTGTATTGTTGAACTATATGCTTAAAAAAACAAAATATATTGTTTTTACTTTGTTTTGATTGAAAGTGACAGATTCACAAAGACCTTAAAAAAGATTGCTAATTATAAGGGCCAATTTTAACAATCAAAACATGCAACAATTACTATATCAGTGTGAAATTATAATTACACAAAGCTGTTGTAAATGGTAAAATCACAAAATATTCTGTTTTTCCAACTTCCTCAATCTGGTTATGGTGCAATAAACTAAACTTCTAAAACGTGTTAATTTCTGATTACAAAAGCCTTTTTAAGTATCTTAAAACTGAAGACCACATTTTATGGAGGGATATGAAAGGGAAATATTTGTGAAAACGTATTAAACTAATAAAAAAGGGAGTGGTAAAGTATTTCATAGCTCCTTACTTTACTTAGTTAGAACATAACACATGATGATGAGATGATCATGGTTTTAAAACTTGTAATACACAAGAGTTTCAATTTCCTTCAAACTGTTTTGTATCTTTGATCTTCTGATAGCGTTTTTTATATTAACAAGTTCAACAAGTTAATAGAATAGTTTTAGATACAATACATTGACGTTAAAACTCTCCTTTTTATTGACTGTGTGTGCATACATTGTAAAACAATTCTCCTGGTATAGCTCTAGTTAAAGTCCTACAGAGTATTTTCCTGTGTTTCCTGCATTGTTAATGCATTTGACCGCAGGTTGTGAGACAGTTCTCTCACGGTGCTGTAACGCTGCCCCCTAATGGGCATGAAGATGTCCTCAGACAGGATAGAAGAGATGAGACAATTTCTTTAAAATCTAACGAATGCATATCTTATTTGTTGTGTTTACCTTTATGAAACTTTTAGAGGTATGTGACTCCGCATAGTTTTTTGAACAAATAAACAATTCATGTGTTGCAGTGAACGAGGTCAGTGTGGGTCGCTCATATTTCAAAGACTCAAGTTCAACTCTGCTTTCACACTCACTAATGAGCTGGGTCGAATATGTAACTGCTTTTCAAAATGGCTCGGAAAAGCACATAGAGATAGTATACAAGTGGTTTTATTCCTTGGTTAGGTAGAACGACTTAAAACTTTCCGCCAAAATTCTGTAAAAAAACTTTAGAGGATAATTCTTCATGATAACTATACTTCATGGAAGTTACTGAGAAATCATGTTACAAGTTTTCCCTTAAAAAATGGTGGGACACCATAATAAGGGCTAATTAGGGCAGAATCCTTTTATGACAATAGTTGGCCTCAATTAGTCCCCAATTAGGCCCCACACAAGGATGACTGAGGGGGGGAAAAATGTATGTCATAGCTTCTGTTCCTGGTCCTAATACCGCACACTGACCCTGATAACAAGTCTGCTGTTTAATTACTTCAGAAATGCTGCAGCATTTTCCTCCTTTACTGGGACAATGATGAGTTTTAGGAAGCATTCAATTAAAAAAATATGACTTGTACTAAGATGAGATTCCAAAAGACCTTGAAAACCTTATAACACTAGTGCCCTTATAAAAACAACTCAGCAACATCCTGTTTCAAAAAACCCATTCGTCAGCTTTATACTAGTAAGTCCAACCACTATGTCTTATGACAATACATGTGGGCCCATCAATCAAACTCTTAACATGGGGATATTTCCTATGCATTTAATCAATTACAAATTATACTACATGAATAAATATAATAAATAAAGCTCCAAATGCCTTTCCTAGCTGAGAGGAGTTACCTGCCAGAAGCTATACATGATTTAGATCTGTTTTTATGTTTGACTAAACCCAACATTTAAGGGTTTAGTCCCAAACATTTAAAGTGGCATCCATGAATGAGCCTTTATTTGTCCCCTAGCTTTGGCTGGAATTGTAGGTTGTACACTGGAACTAAATGCAGAATAATATGGGTTAAGTTCCAAGATAGGCACATTTTGTATCCATTTGTATGACCACTGAAAACACTGCAAAACAATGTGCAACACCTCTAATTGTCCTCTGTAAAAAATGGGTAGTGTTTTAAAAAAAACAAACAGTTTTATTTGGACTAATTCAGGGTCAATACAGCCTGCAAAAAAGTGCATGAATTATGAACACCAGTGCTGCTATTTACCTCTCTGTGTGAGCTGTGCTCCACTGTTGTTAGTGTGGAATCAGCAGTCGGGGTCAATTAGCGTAATGAGCGCCGACACAGCGAGCAGCTCGTCCCGCTGGCTGTCATTCAGGTGGAGGAGGAAACAGGACGCAGCTGCAGCGCCGCACTTCACGGTCAAAGCCTGAACACAGACATTTGTTTTTAACTCTCTTTCCTCCGACTCCTCCACACTGAGCCTTCGCCTGTTGCACACTTTGTACCGAGAGAGCAGTGTGTCGCTGAGAGCATGGCTGCCATCAAGGCTCTGGAGCAGTGGTGTAAACTGCAGTGTGATGGTTACCGAGATGTGGCCATCACCAACATGACGACCTCCTTCAAGAACGGAATGGCTTTCTGCGCGCTTATACACAAGTACAGACCCGACCTGATGTGAGTATTTCATCTCGAAAAAGTGGGTGAAATTCGGCCGGGGTTTGGCTGAGTAGGCTACTTGTGTTGGGTCTGGGGAAATGTTTTATTTCTTGTAGTGTTTTCTACAAGGGTTTTCTATTTCTTTTGTGTATGGAACTTTATATACAGTATACAGTCTATGGTATGGAACTGACCTAAAAGTGAATTTAATTTAGAAATTCTGATTATAATTTAAGTCATCCTATCGTTGGTTTATGTCCTCCTGCTGTTTTCAATGTTATTCCTAAAGTGACCCATCATGTGTAAAATAAAAAAAGAAGAGATACTGTCATGTCTTTAAAAATTTTAAGGTACTTTTTCCACACATCTTTCTGAAACCCTTCAAGTTGAATTCGACATTTTCAACAGCATGTCTAATTTATTTGTCTATTGTATTTCTGTCTTCCTAGAGACTATGACTCACTCAAAGAGGAGGATGTGCTTGAGAACAACAGACTGGTAAGATGTCAAGTTGTTAAACCTTTGTCACATTGAGTGGAACAAAGTTCAAACTCAAGCTGCAAAATCTGATGTAGCACATCCACTTCATTAACCCCTCATGACCCATGCAGAGACGCTCACCGTGTTTGTTCTCCACTTGGCATTCATGCAGCAGACGTTCAAATATTTAGCTGGTTCAACATTTTAACAGCAGAGCACTTTAAGCAGAAGCTGCATGTTGGAATGTACATTTCTATCACTTTCAGACCCCTATACAACTTTCTGAATCTTTACTCTGCCTCTGTCCGCTTGACCTCATTTATTTTGTTAACCCCAACATGACCCGAGCAGCACCGCTGGGACGGACCCCTTCATAATTCAGCCTTCTTCCATTTTACCAGCTTCCTCTGGAGGGTTCAAGGCTCTGCAGTGCCACAGTTTGCACTTCCTTGTTGTCTTGGATGATCCTGGCAGTGTCAGCAAAAAACCTGAGCTCAGGGGAGAGGCTCTCCAGTTTATTCATTTTGAATGAGGCTCCCTATCCTCTGCCACTCGATCTATATGATGACAGTTCACTTGAAGCCATTGTTATTGTTGGATTCTTGAATGTTAGCCATGAAGAAGAACATTTACAGGATGTGAACATGTTATTGTGTTTTATCAGGTTTTTAGTTATGAGCTGTTGAAGGCGCACCTGTGCCGAAACAGGACACTGTGAATGTTGCTCACACTCTTCTATATTTCATGACTAGTGTCATGTTTCTAACAGGTGGTTATTTTACGAGTGTAGAAACCGTCTGTGTGTTTGTAGGAAAAGCAGCAGCCTCACATTCTTTATCTTTTGTGCTTGTCTTTTATATTAGCAGACTTGGTATTCAGTCAGGCTTTGCTCTAAATGTAATGAGCGTGTCCAGGCTGATCCCAAACACCGCCCGGTATCCTGCTCCCTCCATCCCCTTTCTTATCCCTACAAGCTCACAGGAAGTTCGCTATTCATTATGCAGCCCTTTGCAGACCTCTCTGGGCTGAGTACGGCCAGTCTATTTAAAGTAGATTGTATTGTCTGACATTTTTACACATGCTCTAATTGTATTGCTGAGCCCAGTGAATATTGTGTTTTCATATGGCAAAAATGTGCATCATACATAACATTTATCTTGGCAGGAGTTGAGGGCTCTTTGTTAAACTATGTATGTTTCTGTTAAGGCTTTTCAGATTGCAGAAGAGAAGTTGGGGATTCCTGCTTTGTTAGATGCAGAGGACATGGTGGCTCTGAGGATCCCAGACAGGCTGAGCATTCTCACCTACGTCTCCCAGTACTACAACTACTTCAAAGGACGGCCTCCAAGTGAGACATAACTGCCTTGCATATCCTGACAATGCATATTTTCTTTAAATCAGGACTTTTCTTACATTTTTGGCTTGAGTATATTGTTTCTATCCTGTGCTTCATTGTGATGAGTGACACTGGTGGTGTTTTATTTCTCCTCAGTGGGAGGTGTAAAAAGGCCAGCAGAGGGCTCCAAGGAGGAGCCATCAGAGAAGAAGAATCTGCCAGTGGTTTCCAAAACCTTTGTGTCTAAAACCGCCACTGAGAAACGTTTACCTTCCACGGCTCAGACCTCCCCCAAGGTGGCCAGAGCTGCTGTTCAGGTCAGTGTCCAAATAAAGATTTTGAAATGACGGACATCTTTGTTGTCTTAACCATTACTTCCTAGATGATATACATAGGAACAATGAGGTTTATTGTCAGTGTAATACCTTTTGGAATAAAGCATAACCTCTATTTTTGTCTTTCTTTCACAGAAGCCAGTTCTGGCAGAGAACGCTAACAAAAATGGGACTCTCACTAGCAAATGTGTTGCGTGCGAGTGCCATGTCCATCTGGTTCAGAGGCACTTTGTGGACGGCAAGCTCTATCACAGAAGCTGTTTCAAGTAAGAATATAGTCTGTATTCATTGATGCTTTCCTGTCATGTGCTGTTTATGGTGTTAATGTTTTGTATGTTATTTACAACTTCTATTAGATGCGGTGAATGCTCGAGCGTGCTTCATGCAGGAGGGTACAAACCCGGGAAGAATCCAGACACTTTCATCTGCAACGCCCACCAGAACAGTTGCAAACCGCCCTCCTCTGAGCTCGGGATCAAAAACAGACCCAGTGGTTCAGCAGGGTTGGTAAACGGTGCCAGTCAGACCCAGCCTGCACCACGCCCCTCTTCTGTGCTGTCAGCTCCACTGAATATCCTCCTGAAGCCAGTAGTCACTCCGGCTCCGCCCTCCCAGTCCTGGACGGCCTCCGCCCATCGGACGCAGACGGCCCGGCAGAGGTTCTTTCAGGCGGCAGCGCCACTCACAGAGGCCTCAGCAGGGAACAGGAAGCAGACAGACCCTTCAAGTGTCTCAGGAAGGCCAAAGGTCCCACTGACCTCTGATGATGACAAGAACAGAGCCAGGACAAACATTGGAAAGAAGTTGGCAGAGGAGAACTGCAACAACAATAACAAACGACCCTTTACCATCCGATCAGCCGGGAGAAGGTGAGGATTGCATTCCATATGCTTTATGAGTATATTTTCCTTTGGAATAATTCGTGTTGAGATGTACCGGTATTGACGCTTACCCATCTCCATATTCAATAAAAAAAAATATATATATAGATATCATGTTAATAATACACATACGGTAATATCCTGTCCTTGTGGATTCATCTGGTTGTTGTTTTTTAAAACCCATTAGTGTAACTGTTCTCTTTGAACACTATACATTCTAGATTTATGGTTACAAACTGTCTCCCTACAATATTTTTCAATTCATTTGCCAAAAAAGAGACAAAAGACACACAAATGAAGGCTTAGTCCTCTATATTATCAACATACAACAGAAATGCCAAAAAGTTCAATGATACTGACATATGAAATGTTTACCCTAAGTTCGAATCATGACTTATTTTACCACCAATAATTATGTACTGAAAATCTGATATCCTGACAGCCTTATTTGGACTTTTCTAGTCTTTCCCACTGTCTGTATGGTTTCTTCACAACTTCTGTTACAAAGGCTGACAGTGAGGGCTTCCCCTTCTCTTGCAGGTTTGGAGAGGAGCCAAGTCCGGCTGACGGCCCCGGTTTGAGAAAAGATAAATGCAGCCAAGACCCAGCAGGAAACCGGGCAGGACAGCCCGCCACCAGCCAGACAAACAAAAAGGAACCGCCATGTCTGAAGGCCATCAACAAAGACAACACGAGGCCAACGACTGTACACACAACCGCCAAAGGCAAGCACAACTCAATTCATTTCACTTGTTCCGATCCATTATTTGACATCCAGCCAATATTCACCCCCACCCCCACCTTCATTCTCCCTGTCTGTCTCCGAACACATTCATAGAAAACAAAGCCCTTTTGTCGTCTTTGCCCTATTTATACAGGCATTGAATTCAGCATGATGGTGGCTCAATGCTGGGTGCTGACATTTTAATTTCTGTCTCACACTTTTAATGAACTTTCATAGTTGAACTGTCACTCTCTTTGGATGGATGTGCATGCATGGGTGCAGCATCCTGACAGAAGTAGCTGTTCAGACAGAAAGACAATTACTGTTGATTTTTAATATAAATAGTCGTCAAATCTTTTAGAGAAGTCTCCCTTTCATGGAACGTAATTATGTTGCCTGTTAATATGGACCATGGACATTACTCCAACTTGTTTTGGAAATCAGGAACACCTCTTGTCAGATTTAACATAGTTTATTATCCTTTTCTCTGATTCACAGAGTATAACATGATTTGTCTTTTAATACAGATGGGCAGGTGAGGATCATTGTGGTGAGAGACTAGATAATGAAACCGGTAACTGCGCTCATTAGGAGCTGTTCATGCGGGTGTGACATGGAGAAGAGTCAAGGGAGTCTTTTGTTTACTGTGAACAGGAACTTGAACTGCTTAGAGAGCACACTTCATTGCTAAAGCAGATGTCAAATAAAATGTCTTTGAAATTAGGAATGACTTTAACAAGTGTTCATGTGACAGATGAGGTTTTGACAAGCTTTCTTTTGCTATCATGCTTTTATTCTCATTCACTTAAACAGTTTTTGTCTCAATCTGCAGATCCAGTCTGGGGGCAATTGAGGCTCAAACCTGTGAAAATGGAGCTAGCTTCAAAGTAAGTGTCCTCAATCATATTATTACTCCCTCATGACTAAGTGGAAATGGGTAAGTCACACAGGTGGAAGAAAATCTGCTTGAAAGATTTGTCATGAAACATCCCTGACCATTGAGCTTATTCACTCTCCAGAATGCAGAATCGTCGAGCTTCTTCCGTCTCTCTTAATGTTGACTGGCTCAGAGTGCAGCAGCTACTGTAGCTCTCTCCCCCCTCCTAACAAGCCCCAGGGAGTGCCAGGCCTGAACTTTCCCCACTCTTAACACTAGATTCTCTCATTTCTAAACCCTGCTGATGATTCCTCCATTCATCCTTTTCTCATAACAAAACGAAAGGTGAGGCTTTTCCCCATATTTTCATTCTTTATGTCCAGCCTATAGTTGTCTTGAATCTAACAGCTGTGCTTATTATGTCTTTTTAAAAAAGGTAACACACTTTAAATGCGAATTGCCTTTTCTCTTTGCTTACAGAGATGCTGAAGCTGAAGGCTTTACTGAGCATAAACCTGGATTCTTGTCCACCACTTGCTCTAACGTCCCCAGCAGCCCTACAAGGCCTCCCTCTGCTCCGTTACCTGCACTACCTCCAGTCAGCTTCCCTCTGTTTGATCCCGCACCCTTTAGAGAAGCGTCACCCCAGAAACCCCAGCTTAGTTCTGGAAACCTTGGTGAGTTCCTTCTGTACATGTTAATAATGGAAATGTTGTTTGTATTGGTTTTGTTCTCAGAATGTACTCTTTGTCTACTGGGCTATTTGATATCGGCAATAAGGTGTATTGTGTGATATACAATAGTATATATTGGTTTGTCTACTCTAGGCATTTCCCATTATTAAAATTAGGTTGTGGTATGTTACAATATTTATATGTCAAGTTTAATTATGTGTTGAGATTGATTTAGCTAACGACTGCCTCCTGGGGCGGTAAAATGCACTATGAGAGTGGTTCCATACCTAGTGTTAGTTTAAGGGGCTCAATCATGTTTGTTTTCAGGTTCATATCAGTATGTTGTGTCTCTACTGGGACATGTCTCCATGCTTTAATGTTCAAAAAGCTCTTTATTTTTCTCATACTGCCTGTGCTGCAGCACCTCCTTTCACCCTCTGTCTGAAACCAGAGCCCAGTCTGCTCTGATTGGTTAGCTGGCTGGCTCTGTTGTGATTGGTCAACCACTTAGGCTAAGGGGCGGGACATCTCTATCACGTACAATGTGTTTGTGCGTCAGCCAATAGAAGCAGGAGTGTTACATAGTGATGTCAATGGAGGTGTTTCAGGCAGGAAAGAAACTCCCTCTGGAGGGAACTTGTGGATTTTAGCCTTTGCCTATTATTTACATGCACACACACATACATGTATACAACACTCTACAGGAAAAGGGAAACCCCCAAAAGCATAATGGGGCCCCGTTAAGTATGTGATGTAAGTAAAACAACTTCAACTTTTGGTTTCAATCAGGACTCGGAACAACAGACTCTTTTAAAGTCATGAAAAACAAGTCTGATAAATGTTTCTGTTTAGGGGAAATACAGAAAAAAGGCATTAGCGGAATGAACTATCTGCAGAGGTACAGCATTTAAAGCATCTTGTTCTTTTTATTTTAGATTTCAAAAACGGGACTCACTCGCCTATAAAGTCCCCACCCAGACGGTCAGCTGTGGAATCTGTTAGGTCTCCAACGACGACTCCAGCCAATCACAGTAATCCTCCAGGTTGGTTTCCAGCTTCACATACATGTCCACCGCCATCTTGTTGATTTCATATGAGCAGTAATTTCCCCCTGAAAATAAATCAGGTGAAGTCATATGTGACAATGCTTTTCTGAATAGCTGCCATGAAAGGACTATCTAATCCTATTTTATCTACCTCTTAGGTGCTAAAAAGGGAAAGTATTTGTCACCCACCAACGCCTCCAGGACTGAAATGAGGTCACCCTCTGTAAGTTCCCTCTATTAAGTCTCTTAAGAGATTAATTAACAGCTCTACAAATATGCTTTCATTATATTCCCAGTTAAAAAATGGATGACCTTCTTTACGTTTAAGTGTCCAAAGTCGGAATTTTCAAATTAAAATTATCTGTACTTTCACTGAGACACTTAAGTTCTTTTGTTTTATATCAGGTGAAGTCTTATCATGTTCCAGTGGAGCAGATTGAGAGGGACCTGGATGATATTGAGAGAAACTTGGCTCTGTTGGAGAAGGAGGGCGTGGAGCTGGAAAAGAATCTCCGCAGCTGTGAGGAAGGTACTTTATTCCTGTCACTCTTCCTCTGCGACTCCTTTTTTTCCCCACGTCCTTCCTTTTCCTTGTTTAGACGTGCCCGCAAAATTGAATGATGACGTGTCAGAAACAAGCTGTGCAATTTTTTAAATAAACACTCCCAGAAACTCACTTATTCGGAAGATGCCAGTGGTCAATTTTGCTCTCTAGCAGTGAATAACCTTGACACAAGCTGTGATATTTTATTGTATTTGTGCAAACTGCTGAATCCCACCGCTGCTTCAGAGAGCATCTCTTCGTACAGGACACACACACTTTCACTCACCATCAGCTGGAGCTTGTATGTGTGTGTTCTGGGGATATACCTGCCATTTCTATTACTGTTTCTGCAGCCAAATGAGGTGAGAGGCGCAGACAGCCCACAGGGAGGTTGCCTCTCTTTTTGAGGTAGTATGAGTAGGGGGCCTGATTGCTTTGCTCAAGGTCAACATGACTTGGGTATAGTAATATATATTTTTGCTCTATTGCATACTTTTCCCTCTTATTCTCCACCCAGGAAACCTGAGCATGCAATCACTTGGCCAGGGCACCAATTGCACACTACCTAGGAGATCATGTACTCCTCAACTTGTCGTAAAAACTAAACCCTGGCACTCCAGTGCAACTCGGAATCAAATCATGTTTGTTCTGGTGATGGCACCATGTAGACCGTCTTGTCCTGATCTGTCCTTATTTGGTGTGTGTTTTGATGGATCACTAATTTGGTTTGGCAAATAATCACTCTATAAATCTATTGATCCACCTTTCAGGGTATTCCAGTCTGACTTGGTGAAGCAGTGCACAACATGCAAAATAGCTAGACCAAGAATATCCCTAAACCATTCAAATACATATTAAAACAGCCTTTAATCTTTAAATGTATATAAATCACTGTCTTTGTCAAAGCTTTAATGTGCTGGGGTAAAAAACAAGTTAATCCTTATTGGAGTTTTGTAAATCATTATTAAATAAGTGATGAAGACAAATCTGTACATGTATTCCCTCCGTGTTGCTCTACATCCCCTGCATGTTAAATCGTGCATATTAACACCACGTCTTGAAGTGAAGAGTCATTTTATTATATGGGAATGCTGGGACTTGTCTATTTCATTGCAGGGCTGTAATGATTATTTTAACTATCAATTAATTCAGGATTTTACTGCAAAACCTGTCAAATAAAGAGAAAATATAATTTCCTAAGGCGACATTTCAAAGGTTTGTTTTGTGAAATCTTATCTTCATGTTTGACTGAGAAATGCAGAAATCCTCACATTTGAGAAACTGGAGGCGGATCATCTTTGTGTTTCTGCTTTAAAACTAACTTATTGAATATTGTTTTAGTGTTAGGGGGGCCCTCTTATTGGATTAGTTAACTAATTGGTCCCTTGGGTCTAAGTCATCTAATATTCCTTTGCTATTCTTTTTTTCTTATGCTAAATTATCTTTTTTTTTTTTACAAGAAACATCTTTGGTAAACACAGGATTTTAAAGATTTGAACTACTTGGATTGATTGGTCAACAAAATAATATTAGTTTTTGAGCGACTAAGACATTATTTTGTCGAGGATAGCCATATTTTGGTATTTTAGAAGATAAATTAAACCAAGAGTAAAATAGAATATTCACCCCGGGTGTTCATTGCCAAGTCTATGCAACAGCGGGGGGGCTGCTGATGTCAGCTACACAGTAAATGAAGCCAATTTCAAACTGTGAACATATCTTTGTTCTGCTGCACATCTTCGTAATGTTTACATTACATGTAAATAATTAGTCTTAAGGTAGCCTAATGTGCAAGGCTGTGTATTATTGACTGCTACAGTATAGTGAAGTGTTGATACTCAAATCTTTATTTAGTTAGTGCTTACTTGTATTATTATGTAACTTGTAACTAAAACGTTTTATTTAAATAAAATGATGTACAATCATTTTTTAAATGTTTTAATCATTTTTTAAACAAAGATATATATATTGTAAATAAATTGAAACAAATCTACAGTTTGCCTTTTACCCAGCCTGAACAATCTGCAACCTCTCAGTTTAATGGTCCCCGTAGAATCGTACACTATCAACTCATAACCCTTTCTTTGAGTTGCATTAACCTGTTGAAGTGGATGATTAATGCACTTTTTCAGAAATGTCAAGAATGTTGGCGTTATAGTTTTATCACGTGTATGTGTGTACATACTGTATCTCAGTGTATTTCTTAATTGAACATTGTTCATGTTGTGTGTTTCAGAGGGAGAGGGAGACATATTGATGGACCCTCTGATGGTCGACTGGTTCAACCTGATTCGAAAGAAGCAGATGTACATTAGGAAGGAGTCGGAGCTTGTATACAAGTGAGTTCTTCCAAACCGTTTTTGGTTGCAAATTAATCTATTGGAGAGCATTTTGGAAATATTTTCTGATGGCATTCTGCTATTTGAAAGAAGCTTTAGGAAGGGTCCAAAGTCATTATTTGGGATGCATGTGATTTAGGAATTAGGTTTACCTTTTATATGTTCATGATGTCTTGATGCATATATTTAGAGCCAGGACTCAGGAGCTGGAGCAGCAGCAGCCCGGTGTGGAGGGGGAACTTCGCAGACTGCTGGAGAAGCCAGGTTAGACATCTCACTCACTTCTCAACATCAGGTTTTTATTGTTCTTACTCTAAAGTCTGTTTGTATTACAGATCATTTAAAATCCAGAGAGGAGCAACAGCGGGAGAAGAAGTTGATGCAGAGACTGGTGGAGATTGTGGACGGCAGAAATGCAATAGTGGAGGGTCTGGATGAAGACAGGCTGAGGTAACACAATGTGTCTTTAATTATTATTTTTTAACATATGCAGTAATGCAGCGCAAATATAACAACACAAAATGTTTAACTAGAGTTTTATTTTTGAATTTTAGGGAAGTGGAGGAGGATCAGCAGCTGAATGAAATGATGCAAAATCTTGGTAAGTATTATATTAGATACTTCTTCATTGAAATTACATTCTGTTTTGAATTCTTCACTAATATACATTATTATTGGTGACTAGGAGTAAAGAAAGCGAAAAATAAGAGGAAATCCTCCATCTCAAAACTATTCAGGCGGAGAAGTAAAAGACGAGTGGAATGATCCTCACGGCAATTTTTACTAAATTAATTTGACTGTTGTATTGTATTATTATATTATTATTATCATATTAAAACAAATATTTTAAGGTTTTTATATTTAAGTACTGCAGTACATAAGAAGGCAAATGAACAGATGTCCTATTAGGACGAATTATGGATTAAATCATGTTTGTAGTTGTTTCAGAATATTTCAAAATTAAAGGTTCAGGTATAATATTTATTTTCACCTTTTTTGTTTGTTGTTTGAATGAAGTGAGCATTTCTAAATGGCTTATGATCAAATATTTTCTTTTTTTTCACAACGGGTGTCCTGTTTTTTCACAATTATTGTTTTTCACAGTTTCTTTCACAAAAGAAAATGGTGTTTAATTACGTGGCAAACACAGCCGCGAGCGTTTCCCTTGTATTGATTAGGATTCAGTAGGAGAGTGTCACACGAAAACATTTATTTTAGTCATGAATATGTTTGTTAAATGTCCTGTTAATTTATTCTATAATTGGATTATGATATGTAATGTTTAATTTTAACTTGCACTGGGGCAAACACGTTCGATGTTGGGTGTTAAACAAATCCGCTATCATGATTTTCAAGGGGAGGGGACACTGGATGTTACACATACAAATATAGATAAATGTGTTATAGCCTTGATTCAAAATAAAATTATTTAAATATTTATTTTATAATGGATTTGAACTAACTAGGGTATTAGCTGGAGAGAAAGCCTGTTGTGTCTAAATGAGTGTGAGCTGAGAGCCACACATGTTGCAGAGCCTCCTCTCCCTCTCTGTACTGTAGGTGGCAGCCTGGGTATGCTCTATCACTAGGCAAGAACTTGGAAATCCAATTTGCCACAGTACGGACAGTTAATTTCTTTGCTAATTTTATAAATGCTGCAAAAATGTTCAGCTGATGCAATAATGTTATGTGAAAGAGGATTAGGTAGAGCAGTAGCTTATGGCCGGGGAAGGCTTATAAACTATAGGTTGTATTGAGCTTTTTATCTTCAAACCGGGTTTAATTAAACATTACTCTTTACTAATATCTGCATCAGAAATGCTCCGTACCTGAGCTATTAAAATGTTCAAACGTGTGTGGAGTCACTCATGTGTGGAAATGGCATTTGCAGTGTTTGTAAGGAATGAGCTGTAATGTTGCATTTTAAGTGTTACTGAATGGTATGTACTCTATTTATAATATTTTAAAACTTGAAATCTGTAGTCCAATAAATCCTTTGAAGATTAGTGTGTATGTGAGGTTGAATTATTTACTTAACAGCTTCCTTTGGCACACATCTCTCTATTTAAACACATCCTTGAACTTTTTATCACTCCACTTCCCATACAAGCTCCAGCATTGACTGTTGATTCAACGACTGCCAAGATCAGACGCTGCTTTCATTGAGAAGGCAACAACGCTGCGGCTCCTTTGCATTAAAGCTGCGCGGCAATCACAGAGCTGCATCAATGTATGCTTTTAATAAGGTTTTAATTTTTTTTAGTACATCAAGATAATTCACTGCCGTCAATATATTACTGCTACTTAAAACTCCACATCCCTCAATTTGAGATGCATGAAATTGTGATCATGAACTTGGAACACAATCTTTCTAGTTGAGCAGAGTTGGGGATGATATTGGTACAAAAAATGCCACGCGTGATGTGGGTGACAGTCGAGACTGAATGTGTGATATTGGAGTTAATTAAAGCTTTGCGCCCCATCTACTGCAAATGCTTGCACTTCTGCAATTAAGAATCAAAGGCGAGGGCTTAGTGTCAGGGGGGTGTCTAATACATGGTTTTAACAGGAATGGGACCTGATTTGCCAAGCTCCTAGCGACAAGCATTAACAACAGCCTCAAATTAGAGGGACATTAATATTCATAAGTAAAACAATTCATCCTGTGAATGTGTGATGAAATGGAATCCTCTGAGGTGAGCTCTTGTGTCCAGGCTGCCATCGTTCATTAAAATATGCCATTACCCATGAAGTGCTTAATCTTTATGAAACGGTGGTGAAATGCTCTGACAGAAAGGTGGAAATTGTAATATTGTTCGGCGCCTTACATTATGATAATCTGGTACATGTATTTAAAAATGTGGTTAAGTAAAATAAGCTTCTATAGCAGCTGAATTGTTTAGACTTCCTGAGAGAAAATGTATTATCTTTGGTTGTGTACATTGATTTTATTCTAATAAGACGTGAGTGCTTTGTGGTGCTTTAGGTTAGCTGTTGTACGCTGCCACTTGCAACGCAATCTAAATTCTGTGTGTGTGTGTGTGTGTGTGTGTGTGTCGTCTTATTCCGGTCCCTGCCAGAGTCTCTGCCACTAGCCTGTAATTATGATCCTCGAGGTAATTTTATCAGGCTCATTAGCTCTGATGAGTAAACGAGAAGCGTGCCTCTAATTTATTGGCCATCCAGGCTGGAGACTTAATTCTCATCAGAGAGATCATAATATTTGTACAGAGAGACAGATATACAGTATATATACTCAGTTACACGGCTCCTAGACAAACAGTGAGACTTTCTTTGACTTAAAACCAGTAATTACACTCAAATCATAAAGGATAATTGGGGCATGTGCTAAAAAAATAATCCGTAGATGTCATTCTGATGAGCACAGGGCAACATTACATTGTCTCTTTTTTTTTGTATTTTTAAAATGAAAGCTTTTGTTTGTATTCTACCGAGTCTCGTGACTTTATCTTCCTTCACAAAATGAGATTCTCACACCTCTGCAAACAAAAATTGCATTGTTTTGTTCCCTGTTCAATAGAGATGATCCATTTTCTGTGTCAGAGAATGTGTTAAGGGAGCGGGGTAAATATGCTCACAATTTCCAGTGTGTAGAAATTTGCATTGAGGGGAAATTATGCATGCTGGCTAGTGGAAATGAAATGTATAAAGTGCATGACTGGTAGACTTGACAAGTGCAGCTTTCATCCATCTCAAATGAATAATTTTCACTTCCCTTAAACATCCTTAATCCAACCATGTTATCAGCGGGCATGCAGGATTCTGCCAGACTTTCTCCTTAACGGCACAGCAACTTTCAACTTGCTTGAGATTCTGCACTGCAGTTGCTTACCACATGGTCTTAGGGACTCACTCTTATCCCTTCCTGCTGGTTTTGTGGATCAGTAAAATTCCTTCAAAACACAATACATACATAAGGCAGGTCTTAATAGATAGCAGAATGTCTCACTCTACCCTCCTCTGTGCTGCCTCAGAGGTCGACTTAAGGCACTGTATTTTACCTCTGATTCACATTGGCAGGGAACTCACAGGGATGGTGTCTAAAAAACCTATTTGCTCCGTGGCCCTTTGTCCTCTATTTCAAATTTCAGTGACAGCCCCTTCCATGCTAGTATAACGTAGTTTAGGAAATGCTTATGGCCGTAAAGGGATAGAGAAGGATATTCATGGTAAATTACTCATTTACAGGCCTGCATGCAGCGGTTTGACTCTTTATTTAAGCAACATTTTCTTGTCTCCTCCCCTGAAATACACTCTTATGATGATACTATATTGTGGCAAATCCCCCCTCGACATCCCAATCCTTTTAATTTATGTACTGTGGCAGGTTTTCTAAATACTACTGACGATAAACAATTAAATGTGTAATTGGTGTTTATGCTGCTAATCCTTGTGATAGCCTTTAATATGAAGGGGTTACCTGGCTATTTTCAATATCCACTCTCACACAAGCCTCGGTTTGCGATAAGAATATTAACCTCATCAATTTCAGGTAACTTTCAACGCTTTAACATCTTGTCTTAAAGACCTACGTGTTAGCAGGAGTCTCAGCCTTGGCATTTAGTGACATTTTAAGCCTTTTAACAGAATCCAGACAGGGATTTGCAGTTTCCACCAAAGGAAAATAATTTATATCCTCCTTTCTGAGAAACTGTGGGTAGAGGGATTAAATGCACCAGAGAGATTTGTATGTGGTGCAAGTAAAACAATATTGTGACTCAGTTAATACATTTCCTACCCATCTACTTTCATGCTTTCAGGAAGTCGGGAGTTGTTACTCATCTGAGTTGGCTTTGATCCTTTTCTTGGTTAATTTTCTCATTTTGGAGGGTTTTAAGTGTATAGGGCACAGTGATGGCAGCGCTGTGTACCTGAACTCCTCTTGCCAGAGTGCTATGTGACACCCATAAATAAGTGTCTGCTGGGTCTGAGGCAATGAAGAGTCTGACCCAGACCAATTATTTTGTATTCATTCCTAATCAAACATCATTCAATCCTTTGGAAAAAGCAAATGTTTTCACACTACTCTGATTTATATTTAAAACATAATGATGTCCTGCGCACACAAACCGCTTCTGAATGACAGTTTGGAACACAAAAGCTCTTTTTTCCCCACATGTTGGATGGTTTGTGTATGTGCCAGTGTGAGTGTTGGCTGCTGTGTAGTGGAGACATGCAGGGCTCTGTTCTCTCTGTGGGCAGGCGGCTTTGATGCACTGCCTCCCTTATCTCATGCCTGGCAAGGTTAATGAAGTGGTGGCACTTTTGGAGGAAGTAGAAATGGGATGAGTAGCAAAGACCAGAGGAAGGCTTGGAGATGAAACATCCTGCTCTTAGCGGCTGTAAGTGGCAATTTTGGTGAATTACATAGACAATAAGAAAAGGGGGTTGTCATCCTCTTAAACACAACAGTGGTCTGAATCAGGGATGGTTGATTGCATCTCTTTCAGCCTGGTTCATATGAAATTACATTAGCATTTAGGCATTGCTTGTAACTTGATCTGTCAAACATCTCCTTATGAAGCCATTGCTAATGTTTGTAAGGAACATTCCAGTCTGGTTTGTGCTTGGCAATTTCATGTTTTTGAATGTGACACACAAAAGATCATTATAGCGGCTAAAAACCAAGAAATCGACTTGTGAAATGCTAAAAGTTGTTTTCCGTCTTTGAGCGTTAGATCATTGCTCATTTAAAACCGGAGAGCTCATCTGGTTTTCAGCAGGGTGTAGCCGCTCTGGTCCTTTGAAGGACTTCTGGAAACCCACTGTGTCTTTGTCCAGGGCAACAAGTCTCACTTAAGTGAAAGGGCTGGCTTATTTTATTTGTAATAAGTGCCTTGGAAGTTGCCGTTGCT